TAACCGAGGATGAGGAGGAGGAAGTGGGTAGGTTGGAGAGGAAGAGGGGTGATGAGTTGAACATCATGGACCTCACCAGCGCTGCATGCATAGAGGCTGCTGAGCTCTATGGGCCAAGCGCTATGAGTGAAGGTTTGTTTAACATAGATTATAGTGCTAGATGTAGAACATAAAATTGTTACTAATATTGTGTTTTGTGCTTTGCAGCTGATATGAATCAATTTCTGGGCACAGCTGGAGGAAAGGCGATCCCCAAGAAGCCAAGGAAGAAGTCAAGGACTTCAACCAGACAAGTGGATGAGGGGAGAACTGGAAAAGAGGTGGTAGCTGCTGGTTCAGAGGAGACGGGGGAGGATGTGCTACCATTGAAGAGAAAGAGTTTGGAGGAGAGGGCATTGGAGAAGAAGAGGAAGGTGGTGGAGGAGGTGGAGAGGAATGAAGTGCCTGAGTTTGTACCTCGGCCTCCTCCTGTTGAGCTGAACCCAGAGCTCAGACGGTTGGAGGAGGGGGCTGAGGTACGAGCTCCTGGCAGGGGAAAGGGCCCTCTTCCTCCACTGGGGCCTCAGAGCAGCTTGTTCGAGGCGAGCAATATGATGGGGGCGAGGTGGTTCATTCACAACACCTTCCCCGAAGTGGACCAACGCTTCGCTCGGGAGGAAGCTCTGAGGTATGGGGGAGCATCTGTTGTGAAGCATGCTCTTGAGGTAAGTTAAATTAGTAATGTTGTTTACTTATTCTGTTTCTTCTCCTCTTCTTTCTCTTTGAACTTCTGCTTTGATTTGCAGAACGCGAGCTGGGTGAATGGTCTAGCCTAGGAGTTAAGGGAGAGCACGAAGGAGCGTGCACGCTTGTAGAGGCAGTGTGACCAGCTGCAAAAGGAGAAGGAAGAGCTGGAAAAGAAGAATAAGGAGCTGCAAGCGTCGCTGGACGAGGTGGTTCCAACTGTGAAGCAGTTGGAACAGGAGAGGGTTTCCTTGGGCACCAAGCTCGGCTTTGAAGAGACGAAGCGAAAGATCTCTGAAAGCGAGCGCGAAGCTCTGGCAAATGAATTGAAGCTGACAAAGGAGGCTTTTCTGGAGCTGAAGGGGAATGTGCAGACCTTGGTGCACAACGGGATGAAGGAGCACATCAGTAACTTCATCAGCTCGAGCTCGTTTGACAACATCGTCAACCTCTACCGACTGCCAACGGCCATCATCGCCTTCACGGACTGCAGAAAAAAGGTGAAGACTGTCTATCCCGAAGTGGATGTGACAAGGATAACTTTTGGAGAGCAAGAA